TTGCAGGTGGCTCTGGGGGAAGTTTGGGAAAGAGGAAAAAAGGGGAGAAAAACCTGCATCCTATTTGGAAATTACCCTGGGTAGCACATTTGACAGCATAATCTCTGCAAAGCCTCCAAGATAGCTTTGTCAGGCAAACAAAACTTGCTCCTCTCCTTTTATTAAATCAACTGTAGAAACAAAATGTGAAGTACCGGCACAATCAGGAGCAAAAGTTTCAGTGCAGCCTGGGTAGCAGCGACAGCCCAGAGGCAAAGCACAGCCGTTCCCATGAAATACCAGCTGGTGCTGAGTGTGATTTTCCATCGAATTTATCATAATCTAAAACTTTAATTAAAGTTAGAAAATAAAAACCCTAAAATACATACGAAATCCCTGAAGTGTGTCCTAAGTGCTGAGTTGCTGGAAATTACCTCATTTGGGAGGCAGAAGCTTCTTCCCATTTGGGAATCGAAACTTGTGTTGATCATAATATTTAACAAGCACGGGCTCTAAAATAGCATTTTATCGACCACCTCTTGCATTCACTTCAAAGGCACTTAGAGGTGAAAATTAACCAAATACCTGTTCTTTTCCCCTCTGAGCAGAGCCAGTGGCTTCCTTGCAAGTACGGAACGGGTACTGGAGATGGGTGCACTCCCCTGGAGGCTTACAGGTCCCAGCCTTGTCCCTGTGTTGCAATGACACACGGAGACCCCAGGGACAGATGGATGGACGGATGATGGCACAGAGCAGCGAGAGGCTCTGGAGGGCAAGGCAAGGCAGGCAGGGTGCTGGGGCTGGGGCTGGAGGTTAGGAGCGGAGTTACCTGCTCTGCAACAGACACCCCGTCATTCCACATCAGATTTGGGGTTTTATGTAGGTAGAGGAACGAAGGCGAGTTTGCCGCTGAATTCAGATGGGCAGGAGAAACCAGCATTTCTGCAGTGAAATCCCCTGACCCCCAAACTGCAGTTACAGCGTTGAATTTTGATGCACGAGCATCCCACAATAACCCCATCCTGAAATCCTCCACGAAAATACTTCGCAGCAGGATCTACTGCTGAGACTGTGCGTGGCCAAGGGTAAAATGAGAGCTGAGTCAACCTTATTCCTCAAAATTAGGGGCAATATCTGCTCAAAGTACTTTAAACTCTCTGCATGTGTATTGAGGTCTGCAGGGAAAGGTTTGTGCTTTCACTGGATGTCTCTTGTATGTGACACCGCCTGTGCGGGGCATGGTAGCGGGTAACGCAAAAATATGGAGCATCAATTCTGACAGCTCCAAATGCCATCAGGACCGAGTTGGCTGTTGCTAAATACAAACCCAGGTCCTGAATTTTTGCATGCAGAGTTGTCACAAAGACCTCGAAGCTGGACTTCCCTCCTCTTGGGCCATGCAGAAGTCACCATGTGCTATGTCTAGGCACAGTCATCAGGGCTGGCAGGGTCTGTGGTGTCACCGTACCCTGGGCATGGCTGCACTAGCTGTTTCTGCAGCAAGTGTTCCTACCTGTGTTAAAGTAATGAAAAATTCATCAAGGTGTTAAAACAATGAAAAATTAACAAAGAAGGATTTTTCTGCAAATAAAACTGATTCTGTCCAAAGCTGGATGTAGGTTTGCAGCGAGCTTCCAGCCCCGAAGGTGTTCCCACCGCCCTGGGAGCCTGCAGCCCAGCCCCAGGGAGCAGGGACCATGCCAGCACCGTGCCACAGGGCACCAGGAACCGCTCCCAGCTCAATGCCTTGTGCATGGCCAAAAACATCACTGTGGAAAGTCCTGGGGTTGGTATAAAAGCCCTTGTGAGCAGACGGGTGGGTGCAGAAAAGTCTTAAAGCCTTGGCAAGTACCAGGGGTTCAAACCTTGGAGTAGGTCTGGGATGATGTGATCGGGGACTGACATTCCCGGCTCTGCCACAGGCAAGTCAGCGACACGCTCCACACCTCTGCTCTTCCTCTGTCAATGTGAAAAATGTAATAAAAAAATACAGGAAAGAATATTTTGCAAAGCTCTAGTACCTGTATAAATGAAGAGGCTGTAACTGCCTGGTTTTTAAATGCAGTGGTTTCGTCTCTGGGTTGCTCACAGCCCTGGTGCAGGGAGAAGTCACCCAGCCATGGACCAGGCTGCTTCACTTATCAGCGGTGTCCCTGCACTCTCGCTTTAATAGATTGTTTGGCTCCAGGATTGCTCACCTGGGGGGAAATACCACGCACATGAGTAGTAGCTCACGCTCCTGAGGTTCTCGGGACTTGTAAGCCACAATTTCAGATCTGTTTTGCTGGTTATTGCTTGCGGGTGCTGTATGTCACAAATCTAACATGAGCGTTGGTTGGAGGGAGGCAAAGGCATGACCACACTTTGAAGCATGTGCTACTCGGTGTCCTATTTGCCCAGTTTACTGCGAAGACATCCAAGAAGATGGAAATCAGTAGGATTAAGGAAGCTTTTCAGTCCTGAAACAGAAAATCATTCTTACTGTGTCGCTCATCTGACTGTTAGGGGCAGGGAAAGGGTGCTCCTAAAGGAGTCTGCTGACCCACCCAGCCGCTCAGCAGCCTGATGTGAGCCTTATCCATTCTTCTAGACCCACCTGACATCTACAAAGCACTCAACAGCAAAGGGGGCAGCCCCAGCAACATGTTCATTGACAACAAGTTTTCTCTCGGAAGAGTTTGGTTGCCCATTATGCCATGGGAATTCATTTTTGCTGAAGGCAAACCTCTTCCAGTCTGATCTTTTATTTTTGCGCAGACTTCACGTTCACTGCAGAGAAATTTTGCCTCCAGGAGCAGGAGCTCAGACACTTTATAAATCCTTGATAGCTCTGACCACCTCTTTCTAGTTATTATTTTATTAAAAAAAGATTTATTATTGTTCTGGATGGCTCACCAATGTGGTATTTTTTGTCTCTCATACTGGGTGTACCCAACGACAGTGTCACAGCCTTTAATAACACACTTTAATTAATCCTGGAATTCTGAATGTGCTATTATGTTCATTTTTCAAAGAGGGGTCACAGCAGTAAAGAAAAATCTACATTGCTTGTGCAGGGCCACACCAGGAGTCTGTGGCAGACCAGGAAATTAATCTCTTAATCATTCTGCCAGTTTGACCCAGCGGTGAGAGCACAGACCTATGCCTACCTGAGCTCTCTGGAGTGATGAAGCTGTTTCCATTATCTGGGATGGCCTTTCCCACCTGCAAAACAGGAGGAGCGGCTCTGAAGTCCTCTGCGTGGCTTTGGAGATGGCTGCTGAAAAGCACTCTGTAAGGGCCAGACGTCACGACTAACCACCCACCTCTCTTGGTTTGCAACGTTTCCACAGTTATGAACGTTTTCTTCCTCAGTGTCTGTCGGAGACAGACCCTGTTTGGGCAAAAGTGATTCAAGGAACAAGACGTGAAGAGGCTCTGCACCGCTCTGTCTAGTCACCTGTCTGGATGGTGTGAACTTGTCCCATCCGCTGTCTCAGGAAGCTGCACTCGGAGCAGTTTTGTCTGTAAGCAAGGATAAAACCCTCAGCAGGGCAACATCTTACGGTCAGGTTCTTCCACCATTTACAGCCATAATTTAGCTGGGTTGCTCTGCTAAGATCACTGGTACTGTTTCAGATTAATACATCTCTACCTGACCTTTCGCAAACAGCTGTACAGCTTTCTCCACAGACAAAAAGCATTTGTCAGCTCGGTATCTGCTTCAAACCAAGATGAGGCGACTGTGTGGGCAGTTTATTCCTGATTCATTCCAAGAGGCCTGGGAGCTGGGGCTCCTGGGCTCTGATCCCAGCCATTTATCAGCTTCTCTGTGCAACCATTCATGCTCCCACACAACAAAAACACAAGAATCCTGGTATTTGCCAAGAGGGAGCCAAACACTGAAAAGCATAGGTAGGGAAGAGAAAGAACGTAGAGGAAGTGCTTAGTGAGGGGTGGAAGATGGAGAAAAGGATGGAAAAGCAGGGGCTGGAGGAAAGATGGTAGAAGCTGAAAAGCTGAAGGAGGAGAGAGAAACACCTGCAGATAAGCAGCAGCAAAGACTCAAGTAGAAAAATGTGAGAAAGAAGATAAAACATTTCCAAATGCCACAAAGTGTATGGGCAAGAAAGGATATGAGGTTGTGAATGGATTCTTCACTTCCCTCCTCTGAAAAGGATGCAGGAAAAACTAATGAAATCTATACCAGTGAGCTGGTCGAGGGCAATGCCATAGGGACAATCTGGATTGCTCCCACCTGTCCTCCTTCTGTCACCCACTGCTCCTCCTGCATAAAGAGCAATCTGGCCATTAACGGGGGGGGGGGCGCTGAGAGAGCAGCAAGGTGTCCCTTTGCCCACTGCCAACACCCCCGCGAGACCTTCCTGTTGACATCTGGCCATTTTTTTTTATTGCTCTGTCTTAAAAATATTGTTGGTGCTCCACCCCCCACTCTGTGTGTTCAGACTATGGCATTGGTGGCAAGCCAAGGCAGTCCAAAGAGGCAGAGTTGCCATCAAAATGATAAATAATAACCCTTTTTGCAAGAAAAGGATGACTTCAGTCCTGCACAATTAAATCTGTCCGAGCAGAGGTCTTGCAGACTAACTTTGGGACTCCGATATTCCACAGATCATTCAACAGCTATCAGAATGTATGCAAAGCCATATCAGCTTTTTACTGTCCATCCCATAGTAAGATAGATTCAGTTTTATATTTAACGAAGAAAATGAAGATGAGTCACCAAGTACTTTTTGTCTAAATACAATAAAAGATTTTGCAAATATTCACAGTTTGAAAGGCATTTTAATAGAAGTTTGCTGAAACTCTTCTACAAATTTTCTCTATGCGGATTTTAAAGAATGCCTACAAGTCATTCGTGTCATAATAATACATCATTATACTGCAGAGAACATACAGTATTCTTGTATTAAAATGTCACTTTGATTTGGATCATTTTGTCAAAAAATCCATAGGTAAAAATAACCTTTAAAATACTATGTTTCTTGTATTTTCCAGTTAAATATTTTGAGCATCACAGTGGAGAGGGGCCTGCTAACTCAAGTCAGTTATAAACACCCTTAGAAAATGTTTTTAAAGGCAACTGAGTAAGTTAAAAATATCATAGTAAGTGATCTTCTTGAGAGTTAGACATTAGTTTCCTTCTCAAAGGGTGGGTCTTTGCTAGTTTCTCAAAAGGCCTTGATAGAATGTCCTGTACCCTTTCTTGGTAAGCTCTCTCTGCTGCTAGACCCGATTCATATTCTCGCTGCTTCTCTTCTTCCTCAGCATCACGCGCCTGTTGTCGATAGGCAATCTGAGCCCCGAGTTGCTCTTGGTATTCTTTTGCTTCCTTTAGTTTTCTGGAAATGACATATGAATAGCTTATTTATGATGTGTGGGTAAAAAAATAAAAAACTTTTTTTTTATTATTATTATTTAATCCCTTAGCATTCAACCTTAGACTAAAGAATCATTAAAAACTCCTTTTAGGTGTTAAGAATAACTACCACTATTAACCAAATGCTACATGTTAACCTTACTTTCTTTGGAGAATTAATTGCATTCTGTTATATCTTATAAAGCAGACGGCAAAAATCAGTGCTTAACAAAAAAAAAAAAAAAAAGGGGGAGCAAGAACAACTCCTTGTAATCAGCATGCCTTCCCTGTCCCTCACAGTGGCGGTGAGAGGACAGAGAATGAGTGTGTCAGGTCTCAGTCCCTTCCTACCTCAGGCTCATCGCCGCAGCAGCCTTACACCCCATCTCCACTCCCTCATTCTGAAGATAACAGTTACTGCCAACAGGGAAGGCAGAGTGCAGGCTCCTGCTGCAGCCTTGTACTGATATTCTAGGAAATGGCTGTCAGAAGAAATCATTCTTCCATTCTACCTTGAGACTCATACATTCCTTTCATTAGCCTTTGGAGCAGCAGTGGAAGTCTACCTACGTGTTCAGGCACTTCTGGAGCAGGAGTCACACAGACACTTAAAACACCAACAGTCTAGTCAAGACTTGTGCGCTAAATGCAACACAGTTGAACCACAAACACTTACTGACAGCACTGAATGCCTTCTTTGCTAAGCGAAGCATATCCAAAATGAAGCCCAGCGCATTTCCTTCAGGAGGGTGAGATTTCTACCATAGCCAGGAGATTGTTACCACTAAAGCCATCAGAGAACACAAGAGATAGTGGCTGTGGAAGGAGCTACTCAGTTACCTCCACAGACAAGTGTGGAGAAAGGGCAGGAGTACAAAAGGGAAATCGAGCGAGTGAAATAAGGCCCTTTGCTCTAGGCTTTGCATGACACCCAGAGGAACATTTCAGCTACTGCGTATAACTATATTCTCACCCTGAGGAACCATAAGGTAAGGAGAACCCCGTGCAGCTGGGTTATGTGCAGTGGTCTGGTATTTTGGTGGCTGACTATATGATTGTTTAAGGAATGCGTGTGGGTGGAGTTTAGCAATGAGCCTGAACACACTAGTTCTCCTAGGTAAGTAACGAACTAACCTTTCATTATCCCTCCTCCCCAAACCTCTGCCACTCCTAATAGCACCTCAGAGTATGAGGGGGTGTATTTAATAAACATGATGGATGTAAGTCACATGATGGTCCAAAAAGACCAAAACAAGGATATGTAATGAAACACCATTATTTGTATGATGAGATCAGAATTAGTGATTTAATACCAATTGCAATATAACAGGGCTGCTATTGAGCAGTTCGGAGCAGAGCCTCTCTGAACAGAAGAAAGCCCACCCAGTGCTCTTAGAGTTATCTGAAAATGAGAATTAGCCTACTCACAAGTTTAAAAGATTGATCTGCAATGAAATGAACGGATGGCATAAAATAAAAATACCTTGCATATTTTTCTTCTTCTATATGCTCGAGTTCTGAGATTGCTTCAGCTAATAACTTCCTCTCTTGAGCAAGTTCTTCCTGCTCCTTTGCACTTCTCTGCACTAAAAAAAAACAACCCAAAACAAAATCCCCCAACTTTTAGAAGATAACAGCACTGCTAATCTTGAAGGGACAGTGAGACTGTATTCAAGCCAAGTAGCCTAGATAGCAAGCCTGAATTTTGTTGCTTCTGAAGAGGCACACAAACAATGGCAAGTGTATTCTCAGCTTATTTTTTTCATCCACTCAGAACAGATTTCACATTCAGAGCTTCATCCTAATAACAACATAATTAATAATAATGATTGCTTTCTCATACAATCCTTACTTTACTAGGCTTTGCTCTGGTGATAGCAATGGGAAATTAGTGTAAGGAATGCCTCTAGGAGTAAAGTTTCAGAAGCAGATTCAGAGACAGTAGCATTGTTGTCCACTCAACCATACAGCCTGTGCAGGCTGGGCCAGATGGTCTTCCCAAAAGCAGTGTGTTGTACTCCCTCTGCCTTTGCCAAGACTTGGCATTCATGCGGTAGGTCTGGTGCACAGACAGCGAGCTGTTACTACTTACACTTCTCCTCAATCTGCAGTTGTCTTGTATTCAGGACATCTTTCAGTAGCTGCTGTCTGGCCTCCTTTTCCAATCGCATTTGCTCAGCCTTCTTGGCCCAAACCTTCGCCATCTCTTCATCAAGGAGCTTGTCCACTTCTTTTTCTCGCTGTTTCTCCTCCTCCAGCTGTTGTGCCAGGTGTGCCAAGTAAGTCTGCTGCTCCTTGAACAGCTCTTTCTGCAAACACACAGACATTTGCAGATCTGAGTAAATGAGTTCAAAAAAGCCTCTCAAATCACAAAGAGAAGTGCTGGTTTGCAGCCAGCACGGGAACTGGGAGCCTAGAGCTCCATTCCAAACCCTGCCATGGGAAAGAGCTGTGCAGACTCTTCTTCCTGGTCAGTGGATGGTACCTGGACAACAGCATAAGAGCAGAACAAATACAGAGTGATCCCTTCCCCCATGGCAGCTCAGCTGTCTACAACACAGACATTTTACAAACTTTCCACAGCTGACCAGGCTACTTCACCATCACCTGCATTAGAAGCCTTGGGATCCAATAAATGTAATAATAAATAATAATAAGTATCACCTCCTCTAATTTTGTGCCAAGGTCTAACAGTGAGTTTATACAACTTACCTAACATACACGAGCTTCTAAATATCTTGAGCAGAGTAATGAATGCAGCTCCCTGCTCTGTCTTAAAGTTACCTTGAGACCCGTTTTTATCCTGAAGTTGGACAATCTACTTGTTTTAAATTTAGGAAGTGACAGACAGATCCATCATTTCATGGCACCTCCAAGATATTTAACATGAGGTTTTGCGTCTATATATCCAGCTATTAAAGATTTAAAACTGTTTCTTAGTATTAATAAATTAGAATAAGTTAAATATTTACTTTCTTCTGCAGTTACAAATATTTAATAAAACAGGTCCACAAAACAAAAAATATTTTTCTAACCTCCATTACATCCATGCAGTATAAGGATGAAAAAGCTCAGGTGATTTATACACAATGAAATCAGCACGGAGGGACAAGATTCCAGGATTTCCTGAGAGCCCCCTTCTTTTTTCTAGCCTGGTAGCCCTGCTCATTACAAAGCACACTTTAAACTACTTGCTGTGGTTTTAACAGCTAATGGGCTTCTTCAGAGCAGTAGAGCGCTGGCAGGAGGAGAGGCAACAGGCTATGCAACAAAAGAATCAACTTGTTCAGAGAAAAGGGCTTGTGTCTGATCTCATTTATACTGTGCGGTTCACTAAGGGCCACAAAATTAGTCTAGATGAGGTATTGCCCCACAACTTCACAATGAACACCTCTAGTCCTTACTTTTCTTTTTGTTTTCTCCTCGGTGTCCTCCTGGGGTTCCTGAACAGATTTTTCTAAGATCTTCATCTCTAGGGCAAGTTCACCTTGTTTTTCTTCATTAAGACGATTCTTCTTGTCCTGTGCTGCACTGAGCAACATATCCCTGTATTCCTTCTGTTTCTGTAGTTTCTCCATCTGAATTTGTTCATCTTCTAGCTTAAGCAGTTGCTGCTGTTCTTCCTACAATGGCAAAAATCGCCAGCTTGTAAAATCATTGCATAACTTCAGACTAAGTGATGGCTAGAATTAGTTTAATTGAAACATTGAAGAGCAAAGATAAATATTTAAAGCCTTTCTTGCTGACATTGGAGAATTAGTGCCATCCATTAGACCTGTTAAAGCATGAACATTTTAGCATATTGTTCATTGGAATTCAGGATTTTTCTCTTTAATTATCACATGCACTTCAATACCAAAACACTGAAATGCCTGATGTTCTCCAAGTATTTCAAGTGGAGAGACAGAGTCATCTCTTTAGAGAAGTCAATACCATTGCAGCACATGTGATCTATATCCAAATCTTCACACAGAGCCCGTAACCACTAACCACAAACACAGCCATGTGTTCCACCTGTTTCTGCATATATTATCTGTCCTGTGTCTCTGCTGACATTCGGAGCACCGCATCTCTAGCGGACATAAGGTTGCACAAAGTAAGTAATTGTATCCTTGGGCAGTAATTGCATCTGATGGGCAGTTACTGACTTCTCATGGCTTCAAACCATTCCGCTTTATATTGGAAAGAACAGGAAAATGGACAGTAAAGTTGAGTTCTTAAGAAAGAAACAAAGAAAAATAGCAAACATATATTCAAGACCAAACAGGTATATGTACATTCAAGATTATTTAGCCAAAAGAAAAAAAAAATCCCAAAGCAGCATCAATAAAGTAACTTAGCATAATTCCTGAACATCCTGCATTTGAATAAGTTTACAAGCAGTCATAGTCATAAAACAGTATGTGGCCATCATCAGCTTATGTACAGGTCTTAGAAACAATGCCTCAGCTGTCTTGAAGGTACAGGTTTTTGTTAACATGTTTTTAAATTAAATGCCTCTTTTGTAATGTCAATAAATATTCTAACATGCATCAGCAGGTTTGCCATAAACAACATGTTTAATCTTCCCTATACGGAAGTACAAGCTGCACTTCCTAAGGAATGTAACTTGTTATGCTGGACATAAAGCACCCACTGAGTCTTTCAGTGTTTCAAAGCCAAAACTGACTTTGCTATCTGCCCCAATGGTCAAATTCACTTTCAGAAGCTGGTAAAACAGCTTTGAAACTCAGTACATATTATTTGAACCACAGAATAAGTAATCAGAAAAACCTTTGGGCAGCGAAGATGGAAAGAAAGCAGAAATAGCAGTCTACTGGGCAAGTTGGCACGTGCCTTAGGCTGAATTCTGACGTCAGTTAAGTTGTATGAGAGTAGCCAAGGATGGGATCCATGGTGCTTACTCTGTGAAAGTTTATACGATGGGATAACACAACATTGCAAATGTACACAGAAATTGTTACCAACCATCCATCTGCAAGCCAGGACCAAAGTGCTATGGCAGAAACTAGTCTAGCGCTTGTGATGCTACAGCCAGAATAACATGATTTCAGTCACTTTCTCAAGAAATTACAATTCTTTAACGGAGAGAAAAGACAAGAGAGGGAGGAAGGCAGCTAATTGGGTAATGTAGCTAATGCAAAAATTGCTGTGTCTGTTTTGTCATCCAGCCCGAGCTATCTTGATGCACACGTATGGTCTATCATGGCAAAGGTGCAAGTTTTGCTTCCCTAAATAATCTATTTCCATTGCAACAACCAGAAGAAACCATTATACACAGAGACACTTAGCTGTCCATAGCACGTCCTTCACCCAGATGAAACCCCTGATCATTAGAGGCTACCAACTCTGTACTGAAAAACTTGTAATGACGCCATCTGTCACAGCCCTCTTTGCTAAAAAAGGATTACATCCCATTTTCAATAAAGAAACCCTCCTTTATGGACCCTTTGAAGAAAGCTTTCTTCCAGAGACTAAACCACTTTACCAGAAATTTATCTCCTTGACAGAGCCCAAGGCAGCTGTCTTCAGGGGAAGCTACAAAGTCTTCTATTCTAATATCATTTTTCCAAAAAGGCCAGTTAAGTAGAAGTGTTCTCTGCCTGGGAGGTTTGGCAGTGCCTTAAAAGTTCTTACAAGAAAATAATTTTATTCCGCATGTCCTTAAATAAGTGAAACATTACAGTCTAGCTAGGAATAAGGACTCCACTGTTTTACAGCCAGGATTTTCAGAGCTTTAGATTCATTATTGTCACTATTTTTAAAAAGTAGTGGAGTATATATCTTGCCAACATCAGCTTCCACTGCCTAACAGAGTACCCTGAGGGATCATTCAATTGTTACATGTAAATAGCTGCAAAATGAAGACTGAGTCTGAACTAAGCAGTCTCCTGTAACACAACAAAGTCAACACAGAATACTGTGAACTACCAAGCCCCACTAAAGCCAGCACAACTACAGCAAGTCTACCCTTGGGAGAGATGAGGAAAAAAGAGGGTAGTGGCCAAACAGTTGAGCCAAGGTAGCCAAATGCTTCTCACAATGTGACACCCAACAGCACTAATAGGTGAGAGAGCTTAGGCATTGCTTGCTAATTTGTTAAAAAAAAAAATAATTAAAAAATGGATGTAGATTAATTCAGTCAGCTGGGGCATAAGCAGCTGGGATTTTCCGTATAAATCTATCTCCTCACGTACATATCAGGGTCCTGAGTGCACCAGCAGGCTCTGCCACCTCTCTGCAGGGGCTTGGCTGCCTGTTCTCACAGCCAGCCCTGACGTGAGCCTTGAATCAGAGCTGGGAAAGAGCGGTGCAAGAAGGGGCTGAGAGGAGTCGCTTGGGAGCTGCAGTTCGGCTCAGTCTCTCACCCCTGGTGCCTACGTGAGCTACGCTACAGGTACGCCTGTGCCTGAGGTCGATCCTGATCCAGACCTGCTGACTTGACTTCCTGGCTTCACCTTGGACTTCACCACAACAGACCTGCTGAGCAGTTTGGACTGTTAGATGACCTCATTAACATCAGCAGACCTGCTCTGCTCCGTTCCTTCGGGTACTGTGGAACTCTTGTCAGGGAGGACAGTGTACTTGCCTGCCCTGCTGTCACCCTCGGCTCCTGGCTCACCTTCCCTTCTGGGAGCAGCACACTCTTGCTGCTTCGTCCCAGTGCACTTACCATGATGATTAAACATATGTATCATGGTCTGAGATCTGGTGTTACAGATTACAGCTGGGACACAAGACTCTCTAGCTATCCCACAGGAAACTGGAAATCAGAGAATTGCAAAGATGTCTGGCAAAAGCTTAAAAATATTTCCATTTCCCACAAAGGCTCCGAGAGGCTTTGAATGCCAAAATCCTTTACAATGCTGTTTCAAAAGATGTATTTCCCTCTGTAAACAGGAAAGCATTTGCCACAGCTCTGGAAAAGAGGCTTAGCATAATAGGACAGTCTCAGATACTAATGGAATCAGTGAAGATATAAATAAGGTAGGGATTAATCTAAATGTCTAGTAAGCCTATCATTAGGAGGGCCTTATACAGAACCCTGAATGAGAATGATATGGAAGTTACCAGAAATTGAGCCTCTTCTTCCTTCAGCCGCTTTGCCTCCTCTTTGTGAGCACTGAGCACCGCGACCTGGGCACTGAGCACATTCAGGATTTCCCGATTCTGTTCTGCTGATTTCTGCATCTCTACTGCCTCTCGCTTTTCCTTAGCCAACCTATCCTCTTCCCAAAGCTCTGCAAACATCTGCTCCTCCTCTTTCTGTTGCTTTTTCAATTCCTCCTTCAAAGCTAGCTGGGCCAGCCGATCTTCACACAATTCCTTCTGATGCTTCTTCATCCACTGTACACGAAGCTCCTCACATTGTTCTCTGAAAGGCAACATAAAAGTTTAAAAAAAAAAAAAGTCTCAAAATAACAAGCAAGTCTAGAGATGTGTGATGGATGGAGGCTCCCAGCTGATAACTACTCAAAGGACCACAGCTCAGGACGTGGAATTCTACACCTGGTCTGACACTGACCCCTTGTGAGGCCTATGGAATCATAGAAAGCCTGATTTGATAGAGATTTTGACATTAATGAGTTGAAGAGCAGGTCCTATATTTGCATTTGTAAAAAAAAAAATAATCTCTATACACATGCACAACATATATATGTTATTTATCCAATGTGTATTTTATATAAAATGTATATATGTAGTTGGAACATGCATTGTGTGGGGTTTCTATATATATATACACACTCTTTTTTAACATATAAAGCACATGCACACTACGCTTGTTCAAACGTGTGGGTTGCTCTTAATTCAAATGAGGACTTAGAACAGGTTTATTAGTCACTTGAAAGCTCATTCATATTCAGAAAATACTTTGTGAGGTTACACAGTTGAACAGGAACCACTAGAAATCTATTCATTTTTTTAATGAAGTTTTGTGGGATAATTCAGAAAAGTTGCAATAAAAGTCTGGAGAAGCTATAAAGTCAAACAAGTAACTCAGCTTTCAATTTTCATTTACTCACTGCAACTGAGTTGCATATAAACAGGTATTTATCTTCAGTTGATGAAGACTCAACTACTTGCAGATTCTGCTTTTATTTTTGCAAAGCACTATTGAGATCAACATATGCTACCAAACAATATTTAATTTGAACAATATACAAGCATTTTAATTCTGTTCTATAACCAGGTTATAGATTTTCATAAAATCAAAATGTGAAACTAGCAGACAATGGTGAAGATCTACAAGTGTTAAGGATCTACATAAGCTCTAAGGATGTGTGATAGACACACATGAATGCTGTGAAGTAAAAAGATCTCTCACAATTTCATGCTGAATGAAACCATCTTCTACAGATTATTGCAGTGCTATTTAGGAATTCATAGCAGACATCGTAAGATATGATTGACTCAATCTTGAACCACTGCATGACAGCAGTAGTTACCTGTACAATGTGAAATACTATTACTTTATACAATCCTGTATGAGCTGACAATCCTGTGTAGCAAAAATATTAAATATTCATCAAGCAACTATCTCATAGTACTATCATTCTTGACATCAGGAGAGTTACTTAATTTTCATAACTACAGCAATGAAACAAAATCTGAATGAATTCCATTGCCTAAGATGTATTTATTTATTATTTTTTTTTACTTAAAAGCAAAATTAAGTTTGCCAGCACTAAAGATAGATATTTGGTGGTTAGCTTTTTCATAATCTGTGCCTCTGCTAAGGATCTGTCTCTGCAAAGTCTTCACTTTTCTAAATGATTCCCAAGTTAAATATAGCTGCTGTCTCCATCTAAACCCACATCTATATTCCCTGACCTGGGTTTCGGGTATAGAATTAATAGGAGTGTTATTGTCTGTCTGGGGCCATGGGTTCCCACCTCCACGGAGGCTATACAAACGATGCAAATTTGACCTCTCCCCAAGGCCAACTGCTACATCCACTGACAGTGAGGCAAACAGGGAAAGAGTTTTGCAACACGGGATGTGACTGGTGCTCTATAACTCATTTCTGCCCTAAAACTAGCAAGATTATGCTCTAGAATAATGGCTTCTTTACTTGACACTGCTCCGTCATCACCTCCCGCTCACCTCCTGCTAACAAGCACAGAATGAGCACAGCTCCTGGTATCATTAATACGTGGCTGAGGCACCTACCAGCGCATAATAATTATGTGTTGGCTTACAGATCTTCCAAAGCTTTACCAATAAAACTCCATGCTAAGCCAGCCTAATAAAAATTACTTAGGGTTTATAAACCGCAAAGAGCATTTACCCAAACAGCCCTCCTCTTGTTCAGAACCAGCTGAACAAGCTGCTGACAGACAGAAAAAGCGACTGTGCCAAAAGCCAGCCTGACCCTGTTCTCAGTGCCACAGTGAAAGCCATCCAACCAGTCAAACATACGGTGGAGCGGTGCAAAATCAGAGCTGTGACTGTGGAGGGCAAGGATTGCTACACCTCACTCTCCCTTGGTGCTGCAGGAGTGAGATACAGCCAAATAACACAATGCTTGACCTGTAATTTCATGCAGAAGTGGAGGTCTCACCACATTTTCTTCCTGTTGGCATTCACTGCTTGCTGCCTCACACTTCATCTGTAAGCTTCCGGGGCCAAGGGCATCTGTCTCTTCATCCTCTCCTTGTAAAGCACCTAATGCCATGGAGGCAGTGATGAAAGGTGCTAAGCACTACACACAAACGATAAAAGGGAAAGCAGCACCATGAAAACAAAAATTCTCATTTTATTTGATATTCAGAAGGTATTTCTAACCTCTTAACTGTTCCTGACTGAGAAGAAACAACAGTAATCTGCCAAGTCCCCTTTCATCAACACCAAGCCTCTCTGAGATAAAGACTGCCACACTTAGCACTTTTCTCCCCCAATCCTAGGACGCGCCACATCCTCTAACCAAATGTTGGGTTCTTCCCTGAGAGCTAGGCTTGTATCCTCTAAAGGAGAAATTGTCCCTGGAATGAGGAACCATCCTCAGCTCAGGTCTCCATAAGAGAAAGGTGAGGAAATACAGGAACCAAGGAGCAGATGCCAGTGCAGGCTAGTGAAAAGGGAGGGCTGTTTTACTTCCTTGTATGAGATGAGAACCTTCTGACCACTCATTCACTGGTTGTCCCAACAATGACAGCAGAGAGCAGCCCAGCGATGTGCATGCCGTGAGCCACAGCGCACTCCAAGGTGCCCCTGCCTTCAAACAGGTCAACAAACATACTACATCATTGCTGGTTTTCTTACATTTTAACACTGGGATCTATCTTCCAACTCCCAGATAGGAGTTAGTGGTGATTAAAGACTACAGTACTAATTAGTATTCATGAAAAATATATTTCTCAAACGTTCTGAGGGAAATATGCCACTATTAAGATTTGAAATCTTACACCATTAGAAATAACTGTATTACCTTAACACAATGGGTTCAAAGTTCTCTCAGCAGTGAGGGAATAAAGAATTAGTTATTCTTTTTCATGATTATAAACTAATCTGAATTTAATTGAATTCTCAGAGGGGAAGAGAAGTTAAATAAAAGTTCAGCATGGTTAGAATTTTAATAGAAAATAACCCTGTAATTGCTTGATTTCATCAAAATAATTCCTTCAAAGCAGCTTTTACAGCAACCTATAAACATCTGCTCCCCCAGATGGCTGTTTTTCTTCCTCACTTTGCTATCCTAAGCCTCTTAACATTAAAATTGTGCCTGTATGTAGCCACTTCCCAAAGACAGAAACTACATGTATTCCCCCCCAGTTATTTACTCATTTTATGGCTGCAGTACAAAGTTGCTGTGATAGCAACATTCTCTCTATGGATGCTTCTGATGTTATCACAAGAAAGGATGCAATGTGTTTTATGCAAATTCTAAGACATTGCAATTTTCTTTAAAGATACCAGTGATGAACATACCCACGGGCTAAAACTGGCTGAATATCTCTTCATACAAGCGGTAGCCCTTCATGAAAATTAAATCCAGCAGGACTCTGGTGGTCCAAGCACTGTCCCCTCTATCACCTTGCGACAAAGGACTCTTCCTGGCTAACACCACTACTGAGAAGCTGTTAAATCTACACCCTCAGGCTATAGCTCCAAACCCAGCCCACATGGCAGATAAAAAGAGCTGCCTTTTAGTATTCTGCAATAATGTACCAGAGTGCTGTACACTCACTATAGGTGCTCCTATACCTCAGGTTTGAGAATCTATACCTGCAAAAGAGCAGAGCGCCTTGCTCAAAGTTAAAAGAAATATAAAGTAGTCTGTATTAGGTTTCAGAAAGACATTCAAAACAGTTGTAAATTCACAGGCAAAGAGAAAGAGAAAATCATGCGTGTATCCCACCTGCTACTGGAAATGACCTTGCGGGGCTCCTCTGGGTGTGCCCTAGACCAACAGTCTCCAAGGTGGGATGTGCAAGACAATCCATTGGGGTGTGGGAAGAAAGTATGTTTTGTACCATTAATAAATAACATCAAAAATAAAAATAGTGTTTATTTCATCTTTACCTCACCCTCTTTTAATTTCTATTTTTGCATATGTTTTATAATATACATAATATACTAGTACAGTAGTACAAGCATATAATTTATCAATAAATGAACATATTGGGGGTGAGTGCTAACAATTTTTTTTTACTGATAGGGGTGCACAGTCAAAGAGGTTTGGAGACCACTGCCCTAGAGGACAGGTTGTGACACAATTACAGATTCCTGGTTGTGGATCTTCAATAAGCATTGGTCTCCTGAGCAACAAAGCCTGCTCCCAGATCTCTGCATGGATCAGGACAGTTTAGGAGGAGGAATAACAGCTAACGGTGCGGGGAAAAACAGATTTGGGGCTACTTAAAGATGACAAATACATGCAGATTCAGATATTAGAAGTTACTAATCTAATCAGAATTGATCACCACAGTAGAGAATTCCTTTCTCGTTGGAAAAGGACAAGAAGGCTTTAAAATATTACTGAGAGTATACATGAAGAAATGTATCTGTCTTTCAAAGGAGAGATCAACAGACAAAGTAAACTGTTGCTGGTGTTATTAAAGTTTTGATTTTTTATAGGAACCTTAATTTAAGAGTAGAAAGAGACAGAGCTAGAAGAACAGAGAGAGGAACTGACTATGGAAACATATTTCCATTACATCAGGACAGTCAAAGAGAAGAACTCTCTGCACTGTAGGATGAAGATTCATTTGCAAAGATACTCAAAGATTGCCACTCACAGCAGCTGTGAAGGAAGAGGATTTCACTGCCTCCAAATCCTCTGAAAAACTGCAGGCAGCAGAACACCACCAGTAAAGCTCCAGCAACACTTTTTAATGGGATACTATGTGGTATGAATATTGCCTAGATCCAAGAGCAGACTGGGAAAGGTAGAAGGATGATGGGAATGATTCCATGAGACTGAGTGAACCATACATCAATAGAGTTGTCCTGGGAAGAAAGAGGACCTCAGACATTAAGACAGGCAACTGCAGCATGAAAGTCCAAGTAGGTATCACCAGATGATGAGATTCACCGGTGGGATTCATTTTGCAATTAAAACACCTGAAATTAGGCATCCAAACAGCAATCTGCATGTGAGCTAAATTCCCATTCTAATCAATGGGAACCTAATCAATGCAGTCAGTGGAGGCTAGGGTGCAGTTCAACTGGCAGACCAGTATATGCCTACTTTAGGATGACATTAGGTTCCTTTAACTGTCCTGATCTCAATGAAGATCTACTGAGTAGAACAGGATTTCAGATTCTCAGTGAATATAAAGATACCAACACTTAGACACCTACCTTTAGGTGTCTAAATCACAAGCTGAATCCCTTCTCCTTGGCATGTAAGACAAGGTACAAGTACAAACTAAAAGGCACTCCAGCAGCGTCTCCTCTAAACAATTTTAAAAGGGAATTTCAGCCACTTTGTGTGATGGGTAGAGAACAAACTAGGAATTGTAAATTGCAAGGGCCATATTTTAAAGCCCGCATGTGAACTTAGAAGTGCATACACTGCCTTAACACCTGTCTCAGCCAATAAACCCCACCTTTAGGAAACAAATATTTATCTGTGAAATTAGTTAGAGTTTATGCACAAGTGAAAGCAAGTGTTGATTTTTATCCCCAGCTTCTGCACACTGAGAAGCAGGTGTTGTGGATTTCCATAGCACTGTGGGAGACTGGGAAGAGATACTTCAAATTATTACAATTAAATTACATTAATATTATTTTCATCCCTTCCTCAGAAAACCAGATTTCCAAGAATTGAACAAGTCAGTTTTCATGCCAAGGCCTCAGGGCCTGATAAGCACCTGCAAATCTTAATGACTTCAAAAGACACTGCCGAGCTCAGCGTCCAGGAAGATTTGGCACAGAACTTCAGGCTGCATTAAAACCTTAGCTTCAGCTGGTACTCTTGAAAAGTATGCAACAAATAAAAACACTGTCTTTTTGGACAATGTTAACTCTTCAAGGACCTTTGATGCATTAGCTTAATAAGCATGATTTAGGCCAAATTAACCTTCCATGAACGCTTTTCACTCCAATTATAGAAAGCTGAAATAGAACTATATGCCAGAACAAGGAACTACAAAAACAGCCGATTTGGCAGGTGAAAGTGCAAGGATGCTCACATAGGACGAGGATTTCAGCACTGAAGTTGGAAGAATGTTTTCATGGTATCTCACCACTTAAACAATGGAGACAGGACAGTTCTCTGCACCTGTTGCCTTCATCTCTATTAATGAAATTTCTTCTCACACATTTTGCTGAACATTACAGCATTGCAAATTTGGACCCCTGGTCTTTAGAGGCTGCACCCCTTCATCGACAGTGAGAAAAAGACTATACGCTGCTGCACTGCCGGCAACATAGCTGAGGCCTTTCAACTTCTGGCAAAGCTCATATGTCTCTATCCAAACCACCTTTTTTTTTTTTTATCGTTTCAATAACATTCATCTTTCCTTCCTCAGTTTATTATTGTCACCTTCTTGTTAAATTGCATCTTCATATTTACTTAGCCTAAATTCTATTTTATAAGATACCTGAACTGCTGCTCTCGTTTTTCAGCCACCAGTTGTTGTCTTTCTTTTTCTCTCTTCTCTCTCAGTAATTTTGCTCGCTCCCTCATTTTCTCTTGTTTCTCCAGTACTGTTTCTTCAAGTGAGTCCATCTCAGCAAAGTACCTACTTTCCTCTGCCTCCAGGAGCTCGCGAAGCCTGTAATGAAAACATTTAAATAAAAGCTAAAACAATACTTCTGTTGAATGATAAACTTCTAGTTTATTTGTTACAAGCGCAAAATGTGTATTGGGCTCCTTTCAACACTTCTTGCAAATGCCAAAGAAGGGAATGTCCAAGGGAATGTGAAATTTTAACTCAGGTTCACTCCTGTTGTGCCATGGATGGGATCTTACAGCACAACAGGAATGGTTCTGCCCTGGCACAGTTTAAGCTCCTTATCTTACAAACTATTAATCCTAGCAGCAAGAAACCTGGGGCTAAGGAATCCAGTAACTCACTAATCCCAGCCCAAATACCACAGTGGCCTCTGGAAATTCACTCTCACTGCTACTGCACAAGCAATAGTGCCACAGACTTATGCTGGCACTGCCGGTGGGAGTTACGGCAGCAAAGCCAAAGCCTGACTAATTCTGGAAACTGAATTGCACTCTCTTCACCATGTACTGAGCAGAGTCTCCTCACAAAGATGGCATGGGGATCTTAAGCAGTTAAATAAGAACAAACCCCATGAAGTTAAAAAAAAAATCCTGCACCTGGGGAGGAATAACCCCATGCATTGGTACACACTGGGGGCTGACTGGCTGGAAAGTGGCTCTGCAGAAAGGGACCTGGGAGTCCTGGCAGACAAGCTGAACATAAGCCAGCAATGCACCCTTGTGGCAAAGGCGGCCAACAGCATCTTTGGGCTGCATGAGGAAGAGCACTGCCAGCATGTCAAGAGAGGTGATCCTTCCTCTCCAGCACTGGAGAGACCTCATCCGGAGTGCTGAGTCCAGTTCTGGGCTCCTCAGCACAAGGAAAATACAGGCTTAGTGGAGCGAGCCCAGTGAAGGGCCAACTCAGATGATTAAGAGACTGAAGCATCTCTCCTAAAAGGAGAATCTCTCCTAACAATCTCTCTCTCCCGAGAGAGCTGGGACTGTTCAGTCCTGGAGAAGGGAAGGTTCAGCAGGATCTTAGGATCTTATCAATGTATATAAATATCTGAAGGGAGAGAATGCAGAAAAGGGAGACAGCTTCTTCTCAGTAGTGTCCAGTGACACAACAAGAGGCAATGGGCACAAATTAAAACATGTGGAATTCCACCTGAACACAAGAAAACACCTTTTTTTTTTCCCCCTTACTATGGGAGTGGTCAAATACCATAACAGGTTACCCACAGAGGTGGTGGAGTCTCCATGTGCGGAGATAAGCAAAACCCAAATGGACAGAGTCCTAGGCAACCTGCTCTAGGTGACTGCTTGAGCAGGGGGTCAGACTAGATTATCTCAGGAGGTTCCCTCCAACCTCAGTGATTCTGTGCAATTGTTGTACAATTCCCATGAAGACACATCAGACCAGGATACCAAACTGATGACCTTCAAGCTCCAAAGTCACTTAACGTGAAAGAGTAACTGAGAAATTAAACCATATGACTTTTTTTTTCCTAAGATCAGCACAGCACAATTCTGTTCTTCACAAGACAGTAATATGCCTCACCTTTATTATTTTTGAAAGACTTCTCAAAAAAATTTATTTTTTCAACTGCCTGTGCTGCAAAGTATTACTTGTAGACCTAAACATTAACTTGATGAGGTTGCAACAAAACCCTCAGTCACACCCAACAATTAGAGCTTCTGACACTTTTACCAACGTACTCTTCGTTGTCTTTAAAAATCAAGCAACACAAGTGCTATAATACTACTTTTATTTCACATTTGGCAGGCAAAGCTCTAAATGTCACCAAAACTGTACTAGTTACTGTGTTTGAATACATATCTCTAGTGATTGGCTCAGTACTAGTACTAGTAACAAGAGCCCAAAGGCTACTGTTTGCTCTGCATTGTTACTTGACCGCCAATTAAGCACACCTATGCTTTCTGCTACGATAACAAATACCATGCCACAATACACAGTGTAATATACAGAGCTGGCTCAGCTGAGTGTTTTTCCCTGTAATCGTTCCTCTAAGCATACTGTCAGGTTGAAAATAGTAGGGCAGATAGTGGTATTAGCTACTTGTTTGCTACCTCTCTCGTCTCTCATCAGTCCTCGCCAGATACTCCTGCATTGTCGCATCCACCTTTCTCTGCACAACGCTGTGCAGCCATTTTTGTTCGTTGCGTTGCTGCCACTCGTAGACGTTGCGATACCGGTTGTACAGCTTTAAGAAATTAGCATTTTCAAGGAGTTCCTTTTCTTTCTGTCTGCGGGCCAAGATAAAGTTTTCACTTGTTGGTTCTTTAGGAGGCTTGGCTCTCTGTAAGAGAAAGCATGTGTCTGGGTGAAAATATAATCAGTTATTCTGGGGTTTGGGGAGTTTTTTTAGTTGAGCTCATGATCAGATAAGTACATAACACCATATGATGAGAGTTCAAGGGTAATTAGGGATAAATCCCAACAAGCCTTGCCTTGAAGAGCACAACCCCAGTACAAGAGCATGACGTGGCTCCAGGTGCCAGCGCTTGTCCGTTGCCCAGGCCACAGCTTAAATCTCACCCTGCAGATCCAAGGGGATGTTTACGGTCTGCTTTACACGCACGGAACAAACGCCCCGCCGCCTCCGTCTCCAGCGCAGCTCCCCGGGGCTCCGAGCACCTCCTCACACACAGCCACACCCCCAAAAGGAGCGGCCTCGCCCCGCACCGGTACAGTCGGACCGGCTCCCGCAGGGACCCGCAGCAGAGGGCAGCGGATCCTCCCAAGGCCCTCAGCCCGCACAGCACCGGGCTCCCCCGGGAAGCCCACCCCTCCCGGTTCCTCTCAGAGGGCCCCACCCCAACCGGCACCGGGTTGAGGCGCCCGCCCCAAGGACCCCGCACCACCCGGGAGCGGAGCAGACTCCTCCCGCGCCGGCTCGGTCCCTCACCAGCGCCAAGGAGTGCGGGACAGGCCCGGTCACCTCCCGCCGCCATCGCGCCTCCATGGCCGCCCCGACGCGCCGCTCGTTGCTGTAGCAACGCGCGGCGGCGGAAGTGACCTCATGACGCCGGGGACGCGCGCGGAAGTCCTTGCCCAGCGCAAGCGCGGGAGGGAAGGGCGCGAGCCTGCGCATGCGCAGTCGGCCGGGTGGGCTGAGGGGAGGCGGCGGGGCCGTAATGGCGGCGTGAGGCGGATCTGGGCCCGGGCCTGGTACCCCGCCCGCACACGCTGTGCCACCGCTCCCGGGCCGCAGGCGCCGTGTGGGCGCCGAGCTGTGAGGTCGCAGGTCCTTCGAGGGTGGTAGAGCGTACAGGGCCCCGTCCTTGCCGTGGATCAGTCAGGGCCCTACAGAGCCCAGGCCCTGGTGCCCCTCGTTAGTGTAACGTTACCTCGCTGGGAAGTGCTGGTGGCGTCTGGTGGGAGCAGCGGCTGGCACGGATGGGTACGAGAGTGAAAACGTTTTGAGTTAATAAGCGCATAAAAGGAAGAACGAGTTTAATGGTGAGAATGTGTCCCCAGGTTGATGGTAAATGTGTGAACCCCACAGCATCAGCTCCCTGGTCACGACGAGCAGGCCCCTCGTAGAGACCTCCTGCTAATGGACAGGCTCCGGAGCTTCCCCAGGCTGGAGGAAAATGGGGAATAAAACATTGGCTGTGGATCAGTGATTGCTTCAAGTTCATCGCCCACAAAAAAAGTCACAGGAAAAAGCTGTTGGTGAAGCTATGAAGCCCAGGAACACTGATAACTGCCAACAACCTTGCTTTCTTGCAGATAATTGGGACTTGGCTGATAAATTATAAAAATGATCCAACAGAAGAAAGGTCAATGTTTAAAGCTGACTGTAAAGCTTCTCATCCAACTGAAATCAGCACTGCAATTACTGTAGGTACCAGTGATGGGATCCTTGCACGATCAAAGCAAGCCGTATGATACACAGGATTTATGCGCTGGGGTATGTGTTATGCCACCGCGGAAGTCCTTGAACTGGAATTCTTGAGTTTATTTCAGTAGAGACTTATGCTATCATCCTATTGTGATTTAGTCTTTGAGATGTTTGGGAGAGGCAAACAGCTTCACAGCAGAGAACTGTGGTTTTCCCCCCTGAAAACACTCATATTTAAGTGTTGAGAGGGCTGAATTTCTTCGTATGTTAATAGTTTTGCCAGGTATTTTATGGGGTGTTTAATGGGGAATGTTGCCTTACTCTTAACATTTACACAAAACCACAGATCAGTTTTGTGTGTAACAAAAAATATAGACTGTATACAAATGTGCAGCACTTCCATCTGAAATCTTATTTAACGTTAGATGAAAGAACAGATTCTCCTTAAATTACATGCCAAAGGGGATCCTGGTCACCGCATTGTTCTCCAGGTTTCCTCACTGGGGCAATATCTATAGGATATATGTAGCATATGGTCTGTCCTGGGTTTGCTGGTTTGGATGCTCTTTCCTGAAACCTCTCTCTAAGGAACAGCCAGCAGAAAGCCCCATTTGAGACTCAGGTGTCAACAACTGCACAGAAGTCAGAGCTTTAGATGTGGGCCAACATTTCAAACTGCTTTAAGCGAAGTGCAGCCAGCCACAAAAAGGGATGGAGTCATCTCTCCCTTCTCTTCCTGTCCAGACAGATCAGCACAAAGATACAGTTCATGTAGCTAAACCCTAATAACAGGATGATGTGTCTCCTTGGGCTTGATCTGCCTTGGCTCAGCTGCAATAACGCTAACGTCAGCATGAAGGAAGGGCTGGGAATGAGTGGGGGGTAGGACAGTACCACGTGATGAGTTAGAGCAACTCGGCAAACCAGAGCCATTTTTCAAGAGCAAAATCTGTGGTGGGAAAATCCGGCAAGGACAGTAGGCCCTTTCTGCTCTTCTAGGAAGTGATTGATATCAACTGATGAACAATTCCCCCTTTTCTTTGTACAAAAGAAACCTTTTACTTCTTCCTCTAGAAGAAAAATAAACTTGATTTAAGGGAACCAAAGTCATCCCCACCCCTCATAAAAGACAAAACTTTTCCTGCAGTGGCTGCCTGTTCCCTTTGTGTGGGACTGTGGTGACTGCATGAGGCAGCACTTGGGCACACGAAGTCCCTTCCTTCTACAGGATCAAAAGTCCTTCTCTCCCTGCAGATGCCCTGGGCTTCCCAGGCTAGGGCTCTGAGAAGTTGCCAGTTCCTCTCTGGTTCTGAATTCCCCCAGGGTTTCCTCACCGGTCACGCTCCAGGCCATCTCAGGTTCCTCTGGTCATGCTCCCTTCTAATCCTTCCTGCCAGCACCTTCAGGCAATCTTCAATCTTAGGGAAATCATGACTCCTGGTTTTTGTGTCTTTTGGGTACTTTTACTCATTTTTTGAAGGATTTGCTGTTTGCTCAGATCCACATGACTGGCTGAGTCAGGAATAGGGATAGGAGAGTCACACAAACATGCCTCCAATGAGACATCCCTCGCATAAGTAGCAGAGCTCAGAACTTATACTAATGTATGTTAAAAATACAAGTTAAAAATAAAGCCTTCATTCAGCCATGTGTCACAGCCGGTACCTGCCAGCCGGCACCGTGTGTCCTGGTGCAGAGCCCCAGCTGTGCGGTTTCCCCTGAGAAAGTAGCCTCACATCTTGGCTCTCATCTCTCACCTTCATGATTAACTTGAATTCGTGCTGGTACTAAGTTCTGCAGCCTAAAAGTCCTGCAGATGTTTCATCGTGCAGCTGTAGGCAGTGCTGACTATCAGGATTCTTGAGGTTTATCTGTAATAAGCATGTGTTTCTGTTGCGGCCGTGTATCTCCCCATGGAATTGCATGGCAGCAAGATGCAAGCTTCTAGTGTTGGCACATCGTTTGGAGATGAGTAATTCTTAACGTTTAATCAACTCTGAGCTTCCTGTGAGGGCTGAGAAATTTTGAGTTGGAGCCCAGGAGTAGCTGGTTAGCGTTCAAATATTAGGACCTGAAAAGAGATCTGCAAACTTTCTGAGTGAAGAAAGGAGGCAGCTGATGGGACAGGTTTACGTTTGGCCTTGGCTTGTGGTGTCAGCTGTGTACACAGGTCGTGCTTGGTCGTTGTGGTTTAAATGTAGAAGTGCAAAGATAAGAGCCCTTCCCCAACCATGTCTGAGCCAGGCGCCATCAGACAACTGCTCTTTTTTACGCCTGACCTGCACAGCGGAAGGGAGTGGGAGACATGATCAGCTGCTCTCTTCCCTCCACGCCCACAGGCAAGTAGAGAAAATGTTTTTCTCCTTTCTTCCTCTCAACCTTGAAAGAGCAGAGTTTAACCACAAAAAGGGAACACAGCGTGAAGGAGGGGTGAATAATCCCAGCATGAGAAGATCATCATGAACATGGTCAGTGTGTCTTAGGGCTGCCCTGCCAGGAGATTTACACAGTTTTGTGGATCGAGCCATTAAAACTGCACTTATTTCTCAAAAGCTGCCTGTGGTCCTTCCCTACCTCCCTGCCCCAAGAGCCGACCCACCAGTGCTCCACTCAGCAAACTTCTCCTCCTTCTCCTCCCTGCATGTTCCAGGTTTCACTGAGAAGACTCTGTCCTTGTGCCCGGGCTTGCTAGTACCCAGTGCTGCCAGTATTCCTGTCCCTCTAGAGCTACTGGTTTTAAGTCCTGTGCTGGACACAGCCCTGGAGCCTCGTCTGATTTTAAGTGCCAGCCTTTCACTGCTGCAGCTGGGATCCAGAGACTAAAACATCTTTGAGCTGCTTTAGCTGTATCTTGTAACTACCACAGAAAAGCTAACCAGGCATCTTTCAGGGTTTCATCACCTATGTCCTACCTGGCTGTCCTCAGTCACCAGGTCAGCAAGTGGGGTAAGACCAGTGGTGGGATCAAATCAGGGTCAATGGAGCAGAGCGTGAGGCTTGAAATAGCTGCAGTCAGAGCTTTGGGGTCAGTGCAGCGTTATCTATAGTACCTGCTCAGCAGAGTACTGAAGCATGGTAGAAATCAAAATTCTATGTCTAGCACTATGGCAAGGTCTAAACTGCGAACCCTCACACATGAATGCTCCAGTGAATACAGCTGCTATGGCAGGCTCTCTGCTGGTGTGGGATGGAAGGCCATATAGAGTCCTTGCCTTCCTAATTAAACTCCATACGGGAACAATTTCCCTCCTGTAAAAATGAGAAAATGTGAGTATTTGTTTCTGGGAAACATGTTTTTTCATGACTGCGACAAGAACTGAGTGTGTAACCCAGCTGGAGTGTTTAAAGAGCAACTGAAAGTATTTGAGTTTTTCAAACTTCACTTTTTGCTAATTTTGTGATCTCCATTAAAGATTTTGTCAGTGTTTTTAGCTAAAAAGCTCTCTCTGCTGACTGTAAACTTTCCTTCCTGTTATTTTTACATCGGTATTTTCAAGAGATCCAAACCATTCTGAGAAATAAGATCATGTACTATGAAAAGTGCTTCTGCGTCATCCTCACATGCCAACCACCAGAGACTGATTTTCTGACCCCATTCTACCAATGGTCACCAAAACGTCTGGCACAATCGGCAGCTGGCACAGCAGAAAGGAGGGATAAAGGCTTAGAATCAGTGGGAGAATGCGGAAAGGACAGGTTACGCTGAGGTTTTGTAAACTGATGGTTCTCAAATGAACTTTGTGTGATGGACTTGATCCTAGAGGACTTAAAAAGTGTTTCCAGCCATCTCAGAGCTGTTTGCAATGGGGGTTTTGGGAGGGCAGCGAGGTCCTGGCAGGCTGAGAAAGGGAGAATACAGGCTCCATTTAAAAAAAAAAAAAAGGAAGGGCTTGGAAATTACAGGCCAATTAACTTCAGTTCCTGAAAAACAACATCAAAGAGACCATGGACTAAGTAATTGGGAAATCATTTGTAAGCAACTAAGAAGAAAATAGGGAGATGAATACCAGCCAATGTAGATTTGTCAAGGACAAATGGTTTCACTTTAATCTCATTTCCTTCAGTGATGGCTAACAGGCCTTGTGGGGAGAGAAGCAATAAATATCATATGATAAGGCTTGTAACACCTCCCCGTACCCCACTGTCCGTCGGGAGCGATCCCCAGCCCAGGGACAGTCACCTGTGGTTTGCTGTCACCTGGGCTTCTGCACCCACCTCTCATGTGTTTTAATTTCAGTAATCACCTGGAGGAGAGAATAGGGAATTTAAATCTGGAGAGCACGTGGAGGTGGCAAGGGCTAGGACTGAGTTTCCAAATGACCTTGAGGATTTGGAGGAAAGGGCTGAAAAATCAGATGTGGCGCAGAAAGGACAAGGTCACCCACCCGAGCAGGAATAATCAGGAGAAGCGGATGGGGAACAGCTGGCTTGGAAGTGGTTCCTTCAGCAGAAATAGATCTGCAGCAATAGATGATCACAAGCTGCAAGTGAGTCAGCAACGCCACAGCACTGCAGGAGAAGCCAGAGGCGTTCGGCGTCTTCTTCAGCACAGGTAAACCCTCGGGGAACATGCTACCCTTTTTTAGGCGCTTCAAGAAAAATGGGGCTTAATGGGAGAGAATCAGTTCTGGAAAATACCAGAGCTGACAAGTTGTTTAGTCTAGCAGGAAGAAAACTCAAGAGAGCTATTTCCAGACACATGGTCTGATGTGCAGAGGGGAATTTTTATCTTTACATGGTTGATACCTGGTAGATAAGGCAAAAAGTAAAGATCCTTTTCCTACTAAATGTTACGGCTTCCAGTGCAAACTGTTGAGCTTGCATGTTGCAAAACATACAATAAATAAATGAGTGGGAAACCTGTTGTTTTCCCAACATATTTCCTAACCAAATTCAGACTTAAACCAAACCAACCCACCCAATTCATCCAGGGCAAAAGGTCCAAAGTCAGAGAGCAGCTCTGTAAACCAAGCCTCCTTTTAGGCTATCTTTCTGTTATTGTGTTAGATACTTTTAATTTCCTTTTTTCCCCATTCATTTCCAAAGTTGACTGTGAAATTGCCAGCTTA